ATTTTCCCATACTGCTTACGCTTCCGGTGTTGCAAGACACTTGCCCCATCCAACCTTGCGGTAGCTGGGAGGAGAGATATGTTTTTCTGCAGCACAGCAATGTAGGCGTGCTCTGTTTGTGCGAAGGTTGGTGATGATGCATGTTCCTTCCGGAAGTTTTTAGATCCTTGATAGTTAAAGATAAAGAACAGATTCTTGGCTCTGTTCTGTCTTGGAAATATGCCATAAAAATAGATTTGGGCATGCTATCAACTTCTGCTTCCTAATTATTGGAAACAGAATAACTTAAAGCAGCTTGGAGACTATTTGAAATTACGAAGTTAGTACAAAAGAAGAAGAGAGCCACGAGTTTCGTAGAGAGTCCGTGTAGATAGATTTGCTGATAAGTCAGTGAGCAATTGTTTACCCCCCCAGTGGCAACTCCAACCACAGTCAGCTTTGGTTTTGGAAGAATAACTCAAATAAATGTTGGGAATGCACAAAGATTTTTATTTTTGCTTCTGTCCCGGGAGCATGCCAAATGTAACTGTTAGAGCCAGGGGTTACACAGAATACCTTGACTGCATTAAAGTCTCAGCAAAATCACTTTCCAAAGATTTTATTTAACTTCTATATAACAGACACACATTTGAGAACTGGAGCCTGCTGTAGGAAAAATCAGTAGTTTTCACTGAGGGAAGAGAGTGGGGGAACTGCAGGTAAATAATTTTGCTATAAAAATATCCGGGAGGAAATACAAAAGAAGGGAGTGAGGCAATGCCCCTGCAAGAGTGCTAACTGGGAAAATAGACTTGCTCCCAGGCGATGTGATCTTACAGGTGGGTTGGTAACTGGTGTGACACAACTGTGAGCTGAAAAAAGTTAAAACCAGGCCTCAGATCTACCAGAAATACCTTCAGGATGCGCCTTCTCAGGCATTGAGCCACTATAATAATTCATTCACTTCTGGCATGCCAAAGATAAAGACACTAACCTAAATTAAATGTAAAGGGAGAAGTCAGAAAACCTTATCAAAATGCAACTATGTAGAAAAGAATTAGCTTTTCTTGGGGAAACACAAGCCTGAAGAGAGAAACAAAAACTGATAAAAAAATCATGTGGGAACATGTGAAATGCAGATTATCTAGAAAAGCAAAAAAAGCCCCTGATATATTTTTCCTGGAGAAAATTATGGAGTTTTCTGTGGAGTTTCTATAAGGAAAGATGCTGGCAAGTGACTGGGCTATAAAATGATATAATCAGAAAGGAGATAGTCTTAAAGGCAGAATGAAAGCACTGGGGAGGCTTTCTGTATAGGAGCCTTGTCAAGCTTCAACTCTAAGAAAGGTGAAAGACCAAAAGGACTTGGTAGGCTTATAGCTGCAAATTTGTGGTTCATTTACAAGGATTTTATAAATATATTCTAGGATATTAGAGTAGCAGGAAAAAATCTGAAAAGTCACAGAAATAAAATAGATAGGATCAAAAGCGGGAAGAGAGACAACTGCATAAGCTAAACGTTGAGGTCTCCACCTATTAGTTCTATTTAATTAATTTTAATTATTCTTATGCTTTTGGTTCTGGGCTCACAAATATTTAAGAGGGACATTTTGATAGGTTGTGCTTTTTGGAAAGAAGAGAGTCTGCTGTGCTATGCAATAAAGTATTTTATTCCTGTTAATGGAGAACTCTGACAAAAATGGTCCTTGTTTTCTCATTAGTATACCTGCATATATCGCTTTATGACAAGCATACTGTTTCTCCTAAAATTATTTTTTCTGATGTTACATATAAAGTAAATACAGATGATGTAAGTGGAGCAGAGAGTTAGTATTTTGGATTACTTATTATTGCTGTTCCCTTCTTCTATAAAAGATTTAAGAGGTTTGTTTTTATGTGTGTTTGTTTTACCTTACCCCATTGCCAAAAGAGTGTCATGAGAGAGAAAAGGGACTGAGGCCGAATGCTTTTTAATGGCTTTATTAGTAATTTACCTTTGGCGTAATTTTTGTAGTGAACAAATGTTTAAGGAGTATTAAATGAAATTTGTATTGTAATTCTGAAGCGCTCATAGTGTTGCAGAATATTTAAATAACATAAAAGACTGAATGCAAATCATAATACGTCCTTAAAAACCCGAGACCAATGAAGCACATTTGATTAAAAAAGAAAAGCTACCTTTCAACATGACAGCCAAACATATCAAATGATGCACCTCACTTGACGTTTTAAAGATGCAGTTTAAATTGTTCTAAAAAGCTGGCTTACCTTGTTGTGAAGGTATGAAAGAATTACCTGTTCCGGTCTTTGTCAAAGGCAGATTGTCTTGTGAAATATCAAACCCTTGCATTTTTTTGGACTGGCTCCGTTAATACAAAGTTATACTATCCAAAGGTTTCATACAAGTAACAATTTTCATTTTTAAATACAGAAGGAAACAGGAGGAAGACTATCTGCTACCAGCAACACAGAGCTGCTGTCAATGGTTTTTTTCACCTTTAGCTCATAAAAATAAATCTCTCTTGCTCTGTCTATAGATGCATTAGCAGAGAAGTGCAGTGTTGATGTTTACTATACCAAAGAATGAAAATTAACTCAAGAAACAGTATATGACAAAAATGCAAAACAGGACAATGCAAGGGGAAGAAATGAATGCAATATTTTATTTTTAGCTGACCGATTGGGTGAGAAAATGCATATTTTTAAGTGGTCTAATCAGCTGGACCACATTTGTAGCCGAAGTCATCAGCCCACATGAGCTGTTATGTTTTGTCAGAATGCTGTTGAAATCAACAGCTTAAAATTAAACAAAATGAAAGTTTGTGTTTTTGAAAGTAAGAATATGATTTATTATTCATAAAAACATCAAATTAATTTTTAGAATTGCAAAAGTGGCACAGCCAAGTATGGAGGCAGGAGGGGACGGGCTTTATAGAAATCTTGAGTTCAACAGCACATTGCTTCCTTCTTGTGAGAAGCGATGGCCTACATTGCGCTGCTCACCCTGCTGTCTCATGTCATTAAATCTGATGACGCAAGCCAGTGTCTGGCCCTGCTGCACACTTTTTCGTAACCCTGAGGAAAATATTTACATTTCTTTTGCTTCAGTTCCTGACTGTAAGAAAGGGAAAATAAGTCTTCCCTTTTCCCTACCTGAATCTCCTTTATTTTTGTGACTCTGGGGCAGAGAGCCATGCCTGATTATGAAGGATGTTAAAGATGGTGTAATTACTAGCTACAGATATTTCCCAATTGCATAGAAGTACCTGGGGGGTTGTTTTGTACTTCTCCAGGGGAGCACAGAAGAAGGGAGTCCCTACTTACGCAAGCAGGGGGTCTTGCCTAAGGAGTTTCCCTAAGGGGTAGAGGAGGACGAGTTCCCTGCTCAGGATGGTTTCTGGATCCTACTCCGTGCGGGTGGAGATGGTAAGGGTACTGAAGCAGTGAGCCTGAGAAGGTCGACAGCTGATTTGTCAACTTTGCTGCAAACCTCCTAAGCAAGCTCCTCTGGCAAACTTCATAGGAGGTGACTAGATTCTGACATCTCAAAATTATTGCTGCATATTTTGAAACACACCTGTTCATCACTCACGTTTAGCCTTGTGTAACGCATCTTATTCACACCTTCTGGTAAACCTCACTGGAAGTATTCTGGAATAGCTAGTTGTTAGGATGGGACAGAACAGAGTTGCCCAACATGATTCACGCACAGGATTTCTGCACCCAAGTGATAAACCTCACATTAGATTTAAAAATTAGGTGTATGTCTTAGACCACAGTGGGCAATTAAAAACCGAAAAGATTTTTGTGGGTAGCTTGTATTGAAACAGAAGCAATCTTAGCTTATTTTAGCTGATGCTGATAACTCTTAGTAGTCTGTTTTTGTTATCCAGTATAATCAAAATACTGCCAAACTGGGGGGGGCGGCAATGCTATATAGTAATGCAAATAATGCAGCTCAGGCCTGACTTCAGCGGCTTCAGAAAGGCAAGGTAGAGGTGGAAAATTCAACTTCACCAGTAAAGAGAAAATAGTTACTTTAAAGGCTGCCAGAAAATTGAAGATCCTCAATAGTGCAACATAGTTTTGATAAAGAAGATGCCTGTTTCAGCTATAGAGAAAGAGTCCCAGCTCACCCCGTGTTCAGCAGAGCTGAATAGAGCCCATCAATGAGTTCTTCCTCAGGAAAAAGGCAACAATCAAATATTTTGCTGTACATTAATCTGTCCTGCTTGACACATGGTGAACTTTGATGGTAGAGTTTCTCAAGGTCTACTGTACAACTCGGTACGCAGTCCCAGCTCCTAAGCAGTCTTTTGGATGTGCTGCTAAAATGTTGTTTAAATGTATTCTTCAGGAAGGAAAGACATGTCAGGCAGTGCCATTCAAACTCTGATTATTTTTATATTTAAAATTATTCCTCGGACTCCTGCCATAGAAGCAATCAGATGCTTCTGAAAGCACACAAGTGTCCTTTTCCTGAACAAGTAAGTAGGCACTGTTAAAGAATTTGGCTGTCCATGCTCCTTTTTTCTTTTCTTCTTCCCCCCCTTTTTTTTATTTTCTCTTTTTTCTTTTGTTTCTTTCTTCTTTCTTTTTTTCATCTTCCTTCCTTCTTTCCTTCTTTTTTCTTTTTTTTCCCCCTTTTTTTTCGTTGCTTCTTTTTGGATGCTCCTCCTAAAATAATTAATTGTATTTCAAAGGGGAATTAGCTAGGACTTTTTTTTCCTATTTTACTATTTTCCCTCTTGACTCTGAAATCTAATTGCACCGCATGTCTGTGTTACTGGTAAAATACATGTTAGCTGTCATTGTAACTGGAATTCATAGAAGTGTAACACCCTGTATGGATAAAAGCTGACAACATTAATTTGGAAATAGAGCTTTTGTAGTGGGCTGGGCAAATTTTTCATAATCTATTGAAGGAGCCTTGTTAATAGTTTGCTGCTGACTGAAGAAGTGTCCTCTTCCAGGTGGTGAGGGTTGCCACAGTGGACAACCATGGCATTCCTCGCCAAGCCTTAGCAAAGCGCCAGGGCTTGCCACGTGCTCGGCCGCACGGTTCCACAGCCACAGAACACAGACCTGGAGAGGGAGGAAGAGTTTAAGGAAATATTTTTCAGCATAATGGGACGTATTCTTAGCAGCGGCCCAAGATAATCAATATAAATCTTATTTTTATTTCATGTTAGGTCGAAGCATGAGTTCTAGTAGACTGAGAACCTAAAGTGCATGTTATCAAATGATTTTTTAAAGAATTACTAGTTAGTGATTAATTAGTAAATTTTAAGACGTGTTTGCCTTTATGCTCAGACTCCATTAGCATTTTAATTTGGACCAGGAGTGCGCTTTTGAAGGGAATCTCTCACTCCATTTTCCCCACTTACCACACTTTGTTTTACGTGACAGAGTGGTGTCAAGACACATCAGCTGGATTCATTTTGGTTAAAACTAAACCGAGAGCTGTGCTCCAGAAGTATACCTAATATACTGCAGATGCCAGTGGGTGCCCAGTCCATGGGATCAGGTTGGGGTCAGCCTAAAGTATGCTCCCAGGGCAAGTATACTGTTGCACTGTGCAGAGCTATTTCTGATGTGCTGTGCTATGTGCTAATGGAGATGTAGGCACATGAAACTGCAATTTAGGAGAAAAACTTGTATCATCTTTCTTACAAGTGCAGGGCTACACCCCCCCAGAATTTCAGATTTGATATCTCTGTTCTTTGGAGAAGTCTGGCTGTAGTGCTGAGCTGGTAGGAGTAACTAGTCAGACAAACAGCAGGGTACTGCCATGAAATTTGGATTAGGCTCTTATTTTCAGTACTTAAACCCACTTGCTTTAAGGGGCATGATACCATGCAAAGGTGTTTTGGGTATTTTTTACTTTTTTCTGGGTTTTTTTGTTTGTTTGGTTTGGTTCTTTTTCCCCCCAGACCCACAGAATGGAACACCATTAGATTGTGTACTCACACATTTCCGTTTTCCCCAGATATTATTGTGACTTCTTCAGCTCCCATGCAGCCTCTGTGTACGTGACCTAGATGCTTTTTCCAGAGAAACTCAACTTTTGAAATGTTCCCAGAAATTTCTGTATCAATATAGTTCAAGTATGTGTTGCCTGGTTTGAAAGTTCCTCTGCCAAAAGAAAAGCATAGAAGTGATGCTCTGTGTTCTTTCCAAATGAGGAAAAAAAAAAAAGCTACAGTTTAGGCAGAAAGGGAGATGAGTTATGGGATGCTATGAGAATTGAAGCTTTGAATACTATCATTATAATTTTATTACTTTTTTTTCAAGAATTACCAATCAGGGATGTTAGGCAAAATTTTAGCTTAGAACGTGTTCTTGGAGAATATGTTCCTTGGGGAACGCACAGGGCTCTTGATGCAGAGCTTGACACAGATCTGAAGCTTTCAGCTCAGGCAGTAGGGGATCATGTCTCAGGTCCAGAAACACCAAGTTCTGTCCTCTCTGCTGACTAGTCATTCAAGCCGTGTAGTAAAGTCTTTTATAATGTCCTTGGACCTTAGATTTTTCATACATAAAATACACCAAATACTTTTTTGGACAAACATTGTAATAGAGCTAAACTCGAGGGAAGATTAAAAAACCCCCACAAATATATCTATATATATATAAAATGCACTTTTCATTTAACCTTTTTTGTAAGGATTAGGAAGGAATGTCTCATTGACATTTTGGTTGATTTCTTCCTCCAAATCAGTATTGCAATTTTTTGCCTTCCCTGAAGCTATTGTGGTGGTGCTGAGGCTACCTCATCTCTCCCAACGTGATTTATCCTGAGTACCTGGAGGAAGTTCTGAGGTCTAAATGTCACTTTTTTCCCCCTTTGGCTGGTCTGTGGTGCAGATACCAGCTAGGCAAATTGGTGAAGGCCACAAAGTCTCTGTATTAACCTTACTTGAGAAAGCAGAGGAAACACCATTCCTGCTTATATAGGAAGGTTATTGTGGATCCCACTACAGGCTTTCAGCCTATCAACCCAATGTATAGGCTTGTTGGTACTTAAGGAGGAGATCGCTACTCAGAGGGATCTACAGAAGTATGTAGATGACTTAGTTGCTTAAATTTCTGTGCCTTTCAGGATGAAAACACTAGATTAATCAGCCCAGCCTTTGTCAGTATTGCCATGGGGTTTATTCTAGATGTTATTTTTGGAAAATGAGATCTATCTTCAAATAAATCCAAGTCAAAAAGTTCTCTCTGTTTCTGTTTGCTTTCAACCATGAAGAAAATTGAAAATTATAGTTTACGTTTGTGCCTTCTGTGATATCAGTGTTCATTATAACGGAATGCACATTACAGTGTGACATTAACATAGAAATTACCTGTAGGTGTATTGCTGCAGTAGTGTATTTGCAACCAAAGGTACTCCTAATACAGACCAGTAACAGGGCTATGTTCAAACACAGAGGAGGCTGGTTTTACAATATTTAAACTGTGCTCTTGACAAGGATCAGTTTATGAGATTTAAATTCACATTTACTGGAAAAAAACAGGCTGAGTGGACAGGAATCCCAGACTCCAGCGCAGTTCATAAGCAAGCTGCAACTTCCTTACTCACATATTCCCTAGAGGAGGGAATGATTAAATGACTGTACATCATGCAGCTCTTTTTATTCTCAGAGAAGATCACCAAATGATCTTTGAGTCCAGCAGTAGCCACAGAGTTCTCTGCTCTTGCCCACTTTGCTATGCTAACCGTCATCCTCAGAAAAGAAAAGAAAATACAGAGCAGGAGAGACCAGCAAGCAGATTTTTACCACAATCTGTAGCATGGGGAACTTCAACAACTTATCAGCTACTTTTGCTACCAGTGTAAATCACAGATCACATAGAACAAGATGAGACATGTAAAAATAGCTGTGTATAAATTCAATATGATAACAATGATAGAGCCATTTTTTCAACAGTTATGTTAAACTTACTTGTCAATTGTATATTTTTTCCTGTTACCATTAGTTCCAGTCAAGGCTACATCTATATTTCCCTTCATGGTTTCTGTTGCAGATATTCTGACATGTATCTCTTTTCGCCAGCCTTTGAAAGCAGAATGAAATAGATTATGGTTGTAAGGAGATTTCTTTCCTAATGGCAAAACTTTTCATATGTTTCAATATCTTTCAGGGAGAGAAAAGGATTGCACAAATGTGCTTGTAAGCAAATAAAATGCCACTCTTTATTAAGGCAAATGTTAGTTCTGCATGATTCTGGTAGTACTAATTTCCTTGACAGAGGCCTAAATCACAGGTGCAATCTTTGCTGACCTACTGGCTATGCTGAGTATTTAATCTGCCACGGCCAATAGCGTACCTTGCTCTTCCACTTGGCCTCACTTTTAATTTTGTAATTTCTTACACTTGTAAGCAACCTGTGGGGTCTCACGGGTAGCCTGTTAGCTCTCAACTATGAAGTGAGGTTCACTGGACTGCTGGGTTGTTAAAGATATATTAAACAAAACCGGCAGCTTTCCCGGGATGATCCTGATATACAGAGTGTTTAGGGTTTTTCTTATACCTGTGCACAGCCCAACAGCTGTCAGGAGATCCTGTCATCTCGCATGTCTTTCTAAGGCAGAAGCAGGGCCTCAGACGCAATAGCACATATTGATTTCAAGCAACCTTCCAAGGTTTGGGAAGTTTTTGTACTGGCTTTAATTCGGGCTATTAAAAGGAGAATCTCTTCACCCACTTCATAAGGTTATATTTGGTTTCAGGCTATACTTTCTATAAACTCAACAGTTTGTAAATGTTGAAATTAATGTATTCATTTAGATTTGAGAAATGGCTAGTTTCTCTATACTCTAATTTTTTTACTTTTTGCTCTTATGGAGGCGTGATATAAGATTTTTTTGTTCTTAATTTTGCTTTCATATTTTAGTGCCTAGTGAATAAGGACCTCAAAGACCCTCTCTCATTTATTGCCCTTGAAGTTCATCACCTGTGATGGATTACAATTTATTTATAAATTTTCTTATTTCCCAGCTCTGTGGCTGCTTCTACATTACTCACAATTAAAACTATACTTCTTATTACTCCCTGCCATTTTGACTTGATAAGCTTTGCAAAAATATCCTGAAATGATCCAGTTTTATAAATTTTTGTCAATAAATACAATGTAACTTTTTTGACTTGAAATTTTGGACTTTCAGCACAACATTCCTCCCACCTTCAGCTTTACAGAATTTTTGAAGCCATCATCTAACTAACAAAATTTAGCAGGGTTTCTAGGTCAGAGGTCAGCATCAGTTGATCTGTTTCTATAAACATCTCAGCCTTTCCCAGATAATGCTGGTACTACATGTGCCTAACACACCTGAAACTCTAGATTTTGTAGTAAGTGCCAGTCATTAACTCCAGCAACTCTCTGTAGAAGTGTAAGAAAGATTTGTTCACACAAAATTCATTGCCACTTTAGAATTCACCACCCAAAAGAAGCACTTACGAGCATATGGAGAGGAGGGCCCTGTGTTTAGATAAACCTTTTGCTGTTCTTTTTCAGTTTTATGTGAAAACTTATCAGCCCAATGACCCATCAGTGGGCATCCTTCCTTCGGACATGGGAAGCAGTCTCCCTGGGGGGAAATAATGATGTGTGTTACAAGACGTTATCAGTTTTAATCCCACTTCTTAAAGTACAAGAAATTAGGGTATTTCAGCTTTTTCCCAGCTTTTCTGAAAAGGTACTTGCTTCCGAATTCATATCATATCTTCAGTATTTATCAGTGTGGTGAAAAAAGGAGCTGAGATGGTCAGTCAGCTTATTTCGTCAGGTTGAAAATCAGAGAGAAACAGGTTGAAAAGCTGGCCTAATTCCTTATGCTCTTGCAGAGACCATAAGTAAATACCTTAATGCATGTTGTGCCTTACTACCTGATCTGTAAAATATAGGTAACATATTCATCTTTCATAAGGTCCATTGAAAATCTGTCTGCTAATTATTATAGGGCAGCTAACCATATTTGCAAGCAGGTCTGGCTGGATATCTCACTCATATGGTAAAGATATTTAAGTTTAGGAATACTGAAGCTTGGGGTCTCGCTTTGGAATGTGTTCTGTCTGCTTTTCAGCCTTTATTCCCATGCAGAACCTTAATGAAATTAATCTACCTAAACAGGTCAAACATTCAGATCAAGGCCTTGATGTCCATTAAAATAAAAAAAAAAAAGACAAGCATGTATATTTTCAATGAAATTGATTTAATTGCAGCTGGAGAAAATAGCATTGTTATATTTAGATAGTTCAGTTGTGATATTTGGGATGTTCTGTAGGAACAGGTATTTGTGGATCTTTGGCTAGTTGGGCATTAGAAAAATAAAAGGCTAAATGATCATCATCACTTGTTTATTACAAGATTGAAAAAAATATTTCCCTTGCATCACTAAATTGCACAGGGTTCAGGTTTTCAAGTCCTGAATGACACCAAACTTTCAATTTACATGGCAACATTGTTACAAACCTTAACAAATTTTCCACAGTATTGTAATCATTCCTTCTGGGAGTAGATGGAAATAAATTCAGACTTGTCTTCATTCTTGACCAGTCCGCAGCTGCATTGCCAGAATTGGTCCACTAAAAGCCCAGTTATATCAGGCATGAAACACCAGGACATTATGCTGCTTGCTTTCTTGTGCCACCTGGGGGTGGTGTGAGCAATGCTGTGCTGTATAAATATCTCCCTGCCCCATATACTGTGGATGTTTATTGTTTATACAGATGTTTAAACATTTCTGAAAGCCAGAGGCTGTCCTCTTGATGATGAGTTCCATGAGATTTAGATGGACTTCCTTCAACCAGACTGAGTGTCCCTTGCTGCTGACCTATGCAAAAGGTGAACCCAGCCACTTGCCCTCTTACTCAACTCTTCATATCTCCCTTTGTAACTGTTTTTGGTGTTTATATTTACTGCCTTATTTTCTTCTGGATCTTTTTTTTGGAGTTTGCTGCTTTTACATTTTGCCTGGTTTTTGGGTATGGTCTGGATGAGGGTAGTCAGTGGGTCTGCATAGCCCCCCCTGTATCCCATGATCCAGAGTGTAGAAGTTGTCCCAGAAATTACTAAGAGAAGAAGGGCAGGGCTATAACCCCTCAGATAAATATGTACTTGGTACTTACCAATACAAAAGCTCGATATGTTTCACACTGATACCCAACAAATCCATCGGGAGTGATAATACTCTCAGCATAATACCGGAGACTTCTTTTATGTCCACATCCAATAGATCTATATTCTGGGAAAAAGCCCAGGTAAAAAAGATTAAAGCTCTACATCAACATAAAGTCCATGCCAAAACAACATTTGTGGGTCTTTTTTCCTCAAAAGCATTTGTACATACAGTGAAGTCTCAGATTAAAAAAAAGTACTAATTAAAAGATGTTTAAAGTGTGAATTATTTGGTTTTATAGTAAAAAGTGTCCTTATGGCTTGTTTTTTTTTTTCTATGGGGAAGATCTAGGTTCTAATCTGCGTGTCCCTGTGCTCATGCTGAAGTTAACAGTGGTGGAGATGCACCAAGCTGGACCTCGTGCAGCCTCCAGTCCTGCTATGTGTACTTAACTGCTTTTACTTTAGCATGAGAACCGAGGAGGATTTGGGAGAATTTCCCTTTGATATTTCAAAGATTGGAATAATTCATAGCTACAGCGTTTGTAAAGCATATAGTAGTTACTATGAAGTAGTTTTCATTTGCTTACCATTATCACAACATGGCATTTTGTAAAACCACAGTTTCCACTCATTTCTAGAACTAAAGGTAATTGTAGTAATTATTTTAGCTTCAGCGGTGATTCTGTGAAATGCTCTGAAAAGCAAGATGTTTGGCAGTGTGTCCTTGATTTTGTCAGAATTATTTAAAACAAGCACGTTTTCCCATCAGAGTGAAATTTATAAGCAGTCAGTGTAGGAAAGAAGAAAGTGCTATTTGGGTTATATTTACAGATCCCTTGTAACAAGTATTGTCTTCATTGGTTCTGAAGGCTCTCCTTTATCAAAGCACAATATACTAAAGTTAGGTTGTATAAAAATGGGCTCTGCTTAAGCATGTGTGTGGGCTCACCTAACCACAGGGTGAAGTCTTGGAGGCACTGGAGTTTGCAAGCTGGCACAGTTTATAGTGAAATCAGAATTTCACCTACTGCCAATATTTAAGCATCTTAAAGACAGACCAGTTGGTATTGACCAGTTGACACACATTGTTCTTTACATAAGGAAAAAAAACTACACCAAAACCCCTCTGAAAACTATTTTTGTCTGTTTTTCTTGAAAATAATCTGCATCACCAAGGCTTCCTGAGTATGTTTTCTTTATAGTTCTTTCTTTAAATCTAATTCAGAAGGGTCTGTGCTTTTAACTTTAAAAACCTCAGCTCTTACGGTGGCTTACTTTGTGCTAGTGCCAAATTCACTTAACATCTATACAATGGGAACATAATACTTCTCTCCCTACTGCATCAAAAGCTGTAGAAAGAAGTTACTAAATAGCATTTCTAAAGCAATTCATACGTAAAAGCACTACATAAATGTAAATATTATCAAACGGAAGAGATGCACAAAGTAAGGTTTAACCAAGAGGCAGGAGTTAAGGCTGTCTCTATTTTTAGGAGCTGCATGAACAACCAACTCCATCTGCTCATGTTCAGTAGAGCTGAGCTTCTCCTTCACCACAAAACATTGCAAAGAGCCTTGTGAAATGTCTCTGGAAAATATTTAAATTTTTTGCTGAAAATGCAGACATTCTTATGCAGTCCGATTAGACAGTATTTTGGTTCCAAGTGACTTTGTGTATAGCCAGCTTTCAGTCCTCTTTGTTACTAAGTTCTCCAACCAGTTCTAAGACAGAGCATTTTTGAAAGCCATTTACTTAACTAGCGGTAGGGATTTCAAAACATTTAGCTGTGAATAACAGATGGTCTCATTTCTGTAGGTTAGGATCAGAACACAGGATTTTGGGGATCTATTGTACTGGATCCCAGGGTAATTCTGATTAACTGCCCAGCTTTCTTTGAAGAACATGCGCTATCAATGGAACAGTCATTTTATCATCTTCTATATTTTTAACTTTGTGCTGTTCCCTTTGAAGACACTAAAGCTGTTAATGTCGTGGATCAGTATGTGGATGAGTATGTCTAACCCCAGTAATATGGGGACCGATGTCTTTCTAGGGAGAAGGGAAGCTCAAATTTTAAAATACTCATTTTTGGATTATCCTTGAATGAAATTTTACCGGTCCTTCATGTGTGGAATTCCCACTGAGGTCAGTCTGTCAGCACAGTGGCAGGCTCTTATAAAGGTTGTGACAAACAAGTCTGCATGATTTAACTGAAGTTTCCATCTGGAATTTGCCTTGGTTAGTATAAAAGAAAATTGGAGGGTATTTCACAGGCAGCTTTAAGTCTTCCATTTTGAAGCATTCTCTCTCTACTCCAAATCTGAGCTATAGAAATGATATATGCATTCAAAAGGCTTTACCTTACCCTAACCTTTATTTCTAACTGTAACTTATAATGAGGTATTACTTCTTTAAAATATATTTGCCTCTCATAAGGTCATTGATATTCTGAGTTGCAGGAGGTACACGAAGCTGCTTGCATCCTGGCATCTTCTTCCCACCATTTGGGTAAAAATCCAGGTGGCCACAAGTCTGAAGAATTCCTGGAGCTGAAACGCACAATGAATCGAGGCTGATCACTCTCAGGTATGCTGTGGCCAACCTCTGTGTTGGTGCCAGCCTTTGCGTGAAAACTTACCAAAGTCAAAGAAAAGATGACCAGCGTGAGTATGAATTATATCAACAAATTTTGCATCTGAAGGATCCAGCCTAACCCTTGTGGGAGTATACTGGAAAAGGGGCCCAGCTGGATCCAAACCTAAATAAACGGAGATATGTCTGATTAAGTAAATAATACTATATGGATTTTTCTTTTTTTGGAGTTTGCTGCTTTTATATTTTGCCTGTATGTCATTACATTTCTGCCTTTACTCCACATATAAAAATCCATTTTGTGGTCCACAGCCAACAAAACAAGCAGGGTTTTAATAGAAAGGTGGCTGGATGCCTTGCAGCACAGTAAAATGCTGATGGGTGCTTGGCTTACTTTTGGGGTAAGAAGAGGTTTGGGGTTTTTTTGCATGTTAGTGAAAAATATGAAATTTTGATATGTTATTCTGAGCATGTAGATTTGTTTGAGAATTTTTATTTGGTCAAAAAATCTATTTTTATTTCCAAAAGAGCTTGGTTGAAAATGTTACCCCTTCACTTCAGTGTCAGTGAGCTCTCTTCGGTGCTAACGCAATACAGTTCTGATTCCAGTTTCCCTGAACTGCTTATGTGACTGCTTACTGTGTACACAGCTTAGTCAAAGCAATGTCTATGCAGAGAAAAGAACTGACTGGAGGAGAAACGAAAGGAGAAAATAGTGAGCCTTTAAAAAAAGTGATGTGTGAGTGCGTCATGATGCTGTGTCTCTCTGCGTAGCTATGCGACTAACAGCTTTCTTCCTTTTCAGGGTGTCCATGGCTATTTACTGTCTCATCCTGACATACTAGATCCAGGGTTTTTAATTTTTCGTTTCAGATTTTCAATCTTTTGAACTGCTGAAAAGTCATGTTAGAGTGGGCTTTTAAGACCAAATATGACAATGATTTGCTAGTGTTTTACAAGTCTGTTATTCCACAGGTAATACAGAATTTTGTTACTGTTCTTTTATATCATTAAAAATCATAACCAAGTGCTCCCTGGGACTTGTTGTGACCTGTGAAAAGTGACCTCTATTTAGCCACAGTCAGGATAGTTAAGCCTTTCTGATCTGTTGCAGTCGAGCCTTTCTCAGAGCTATGAATGTTGACATGTGAAATGCATGACATGATAGGACATGGCTTCGTTTGTGTGCCATCTTGCTAGCTGTATACTGTTAATTATGACAAACCAGCACATTGCAGTCTGTATTGTGTGTTCATAAGGCAGCAGTGATTCTTTAGTTCTCTTAAGCTGCATGAAAATAAAGTTTCATCAGTTGAAGTAGCTTCAGTACCTGTTATTCTTCCAATGCCAGGTTTCCTTCTCCCTGCCTCCCCTGCAGCATGTGCTCCAAGACTATGGCCGATGAAATGAATGTTGGCAGGAGAGTAGCCATACTCTTTCTGTGAAGATGTATGGAAAGGAAAAAACAAGCGTGTTAAGCGGGGGATACAAGCCTGTGGCACAGCATCATGGCCCCATGCTGTGCCAGGACATGGCCAGACCAGCGGTCGATGGAAGGAAGTGTCTTGGGTGGGAAGTTACTGTCCCTTTAGGTACAGGGATCTGTACCTAAAGAGAAGCAGTTCCAAACTCATCCCATCTCTTAGATCACGCCTCTGGAAGGGAGTAATCTCTATCAGGAATTGGTCCTTATGATAGAAAAGAAGGAAAAGGGAATTTCTGCATATAGCTCCCCTACATTTGCACTGGTTGTTTATCCAAAAGGCAAATGACCCCACTGCCTCACCCCTGAACCTGTGTGTCCAGTCAGGATAGCGATCTGTGGTGGAGGAGTTTTCAGTGCCTTTGTCTGTGGCATACCCTCTGTGTGAATCAAGTAGCCGTCCTGCTATGGAGATGCTCCACCACAGGTCCTGCAGGATGGGTAGGACCATGCCAGGAGCGCTGCTGGTGTGCCAGGCTCAGCTGAGCTTCTGCATGGGAAGCCTGACATTGGTGGCTGCAGGAGAGTCGCTTCTCTGTGCTGTGATTCAGTTCTTGCAGGAGGCAGTGTGTGTGACCCACAGAGGGATGTTTTAACCGTATTGGTCCTCTATTACCACTCTTCACCCTGCCAGTTTTGCTAGACAGTCTCCAATCTGATTCTTACCCAATAAAAAGCCCGTCATGAGCAAAACTTTGAGAAACTATGGCCTGTAAGCCTTTAGGGACATGCTTATCTGTGGTCTGACACTAAAGTAGGTATTTCTGTTTGTGCAGGATTAGAGACTTTTTATGACATTTTCAGCTGTGTTACTGAGTACCTCTGTACTTCCTGACTCTATTGCATCAAACCTAAGGGTGCCACCCTGAACGCAGCTTTTACCATACAGACTATGCGCTGGCTTTCACGTTCCACGGATACTTTTACCTCAAGAAGGTTCACCAGATATACCAGCTCAGCCCCCACAATGCGGACGTTGTTAACTGCTTCGGTGTACAAACCACTAGAGCCACCTCTCCAGTCGGTCAAAATGCAGTTCACGTCTTCAGTGTGAAACATGAACTGGTGGAAAACGTGAAAACAGAAGAACAGAAGCAAACAGGCATGAATTACAATTGTAGCAGGGCATATGCAAACAATATTTTGTTTTGTTATAGCCGGGGACTCACTTCGTGTGACTGGTAAAGACACATCTTCAGTATCTTAATTCCTACTAATACTGAAGAATCAACACAAGGAGGCAGAGTGGAGGCAGTGATCTGAACACTGTATAAAGACACACAGAAGCTTGCTTCAGTTCTGTTTTCCATTCCAGATGCCTTGGTTGGCTTTAGGGTATCAACTTCTCTTAATGACCATACCCCAGTTACAAAAAGAGGATAGTGTGACTTCTTTTTTATTGTCCAAGCTTTATTCTTCAAAATGTATACGCTTGGATCATCTAAAAGGATTCACAAATTTGTGTTCATGTGCTTGAATCGCTCAGCCCCAAAGTTCATATATTTTAACCAAAATATTCTATTTGTACACTTCCGGAAATGGAACATTCTGATTTTTCATTCTGAAACAATTTCATTTTTGAAATGTGCCTAAATAAAATAAAACCAATCTGCTGAACAAGGCATTTTGTTTTTATTAGATCAAATGCCTCACTCAAACTGAAATGTTTATTTTGACCTTTTGCTGAGGTGAGAAAAGTGACTTTTTTTTTCCCCTTTATTATTGGCAAGGAATTGAAAAATCAATTAATTATAGCTTTCCCTGTGGAGGTGAGTGCAGCAAAAGGGCATTTAGCAGAAGGCTGAAGTGCACTATACTCATAGCTAGGAACAAGGAGGTGGTCATGTGGAACTGATCTTCATTCTGAGTTGTTTTTCCCCTCATATATTCCCTGAATTAACAAGAGAACAGAGGTGTAAATTTTATGTGGGAATTTTAAGCCAGTTAATGGGGTGATGTGGATATTTGCACTTTCAAATACAAGTAAAATGACTATCAGAAAACAGTCATACCATACCCTGCATGTATTTGTTATCCAGGGGAGGTCTGCTCCAGCAAGATGGCCATGTATAATGAAGCGAGTTTTCCTGTGCGTTCGGAAATTCGAAGTTTTGATAGTTGAAACATTTGTAGCAGAAATTTTCTGTGTCAAAAAAAACCAACCGACAAACAACACAACAAGGATGTGACTGCTCCATCCCAGTGTACGTTTTGATACAGGGCAGAGTAACCCAATGGTTAAGGCAGAGTTCTGGACTCTGAAGAGATGTGTCTTGTTCCTCACTTGTAAACTCCCTTGCTGGGGGATATCAATTAATCCTTTCAACAAATTATTCACTTCCTCTAGTTAATTGAACTAATGATACTGGCATCCTTTGCACAATGCCTTGAGATATACTGGTACAACATGCCATGTAAATAGAAGATTTTATCAAACTTGGCCATAGAAATACAAAGATAACATCTTCTGCAAGGTATTATGTGGTTGACTTTGAATCTATACCTATTTTTCTTTCTTTTTTCTTTGAAGATAAGACCTTCGTCGCTAAGCTTATTTATATTTTATGAGAAAGCCCACCAGGCTTAGAACATCAGAGGCTGTAGGTATTTTGGGGTTTATTGAGAACAAAGGCATTATTTTCTTTTAAAGAAATTCTGAATACTGGATTGTTTCAAAACTTGGCTCATTTTTTGTAATGGTTTCGTAAGCTTAAAAGGGGATGTCATGCACTAATTAGCACACCTCACCTTCAGTGAAAGACTGACTAAAGTTAAAACCTGATAGGCCCTCTCAGCTAGAGATGTTGGACTTGTTCTGAGGTGACTCAAACAGGAGAAATTATGGAACACCTCCACTGTTTGTGACTGCCATCTATATAAATAAAACAGCTATGAAGCCTTCTTCATGTAATGTAAGCCAACAACAGCAACAAATTACCCCCCCCTTTCATATTAATTTGCTTCATTTTTCTTGCTTTTTGTCCAAGTAAAATTCACACTCTCTGATGGTCATTTCTCTTCTTTCACCAGACTAGTCTATAGCTCCACAAAACTGCTTCATGCTCTGGATAAGCCCAGCCCAGACAGCTCCAACACCTTGAGCATCCTGCTGTGAGCTTTTCCCAGCACTTGCTGATCTTCAGAGGAAAAGGCTGACACGCTGCTGGCGTCTTTCAGTACATTCCCATTTGATCCATCCTAAACAGGTCCTGCAGGCTCCTTTTAGCTATTTCCATTCGTCCCTCTGTCACAATCCAGAGCTTCCTCTCGCTGCCACTAGTTTGCAGATGTAGATAACCTCACCTTTTTACTTTTTTTCTTCCATACAGCTCCAGTCTGCTGTCTCTATGCTTCTCTACCTGGTGTGTTTTCATGAGGGATAACCTGGTTCAACTCTCTGTAAGAGAAACCTCCAAGCTCTCTCTAAGGTATATCTTACCAAGTCTTTTTCTTTAGCTTTTTAGTCTTCATTTTCCCTCAGTCCCATTCTTCCAAAAAATGTTTAATATTTGTTTATTTTCTTTATCCATCACCATTTCATTCTCTTTTTGGTTGTTTCCTTCTTTTCCACTTATGATTTCATGCTCTCCTTTATTTTTTTCTTTAGTTTCCTGTTTTCCTTTCTAAGCTTTCCTTTAATTTTTCATCCTATTTTCCTTCTCCTCTCTGGTGAACACGGATACTTTCTCTTCTGATCTTCACTCTTAACTATTTACCTGCTCTTAGGGCTCAGTGTTGGCCACCACATAAGCAGAGCCTCTGAGACCAATCGTATGTAGTTCGGAGGACCTAGTAATCATGTGTGTGAACCACATCCCTGAGTCATATGTATGGGCCTGAAATATGGTTTTAAGCTGGAGACACACAGGAGCCAAAACTGAGCTTTCCTTTTGTATTGCCTTTCCTACCTCTGGCTTTATAATGCTAAAGCTGAAACTGAATTTGGGCCATTAGAATCATAGAATCATAGAATCATTGAGGTTGGAAAAGACCTCTAAGATCATCGAGTCCAACCGTCAACCCAACACCACCAGGCCCACTAAACAATGTCCCTAAGTGCCTCATCTACTCATCTTTTAAATCCCCCCAGGGAGGGGGCCCCCACCCCTTCCGTGGGCAGCCTGTTCCAATGTTTCACCACTCTTTCAGTAAAGAAATTTTTCCTT